ACATCTGTCTCTCTAAAGAGGATGTGCTGGCAGCAGACAGTTTTAATAGCTCCTACCCATAAGGAGTTTTTACTATAAGTTTCAAAGGCTTATACTCTAAAGCGCTAATTGGAAGAGGAGCAGGAATTGGCAGAATTGAAGTGTCTGACTGAACAGTTCCTAGAACTGGCAGGTTCTTTCACAAGCTTGTAATGAGCACACACTGTCTTTGATGAAAAGGAAACAGAAAAAAACATGGATGGTTAGGCACTTAACAGGCCATGTGCATGTACAAATGTACAAGCTGTGCACACACATTGGGGAAATACACATATAAGCTAGGCAGATGCCAATGTCTGTAAAGTATATACTTGTATGCTCCTACCTTTGAAAACCTGGCCCTGTTGTTGTTAATCAGCAGTAATGACAAAGGGAAAGAATGATCAGAAGGAATTAAGGTTGTGGAATGAAGGGCCTGGAGCAGGACTGGAGGAGATCATGGTGAACCCTCTCCCATCAAGAACTCTGTTATGCAGCATCATGAAAATTACAGACATGCTGTCTAGCTTCTCCAATGTCTCCCAGGGACTCTGATTTACTAAAGAGATAACCAAGGGACCAGGAGCTGCAGCACACTCAACTAACACATGGGAGGACAGAGATAGACAACCAGAGATCCCTACAGCAGTTAGAGAGCACAAGGAAGGAGGGTGGGATGAAAGAGAGTGTGTGTGTGGGGGGGAGGGAGTGGGGGAAGAAATGGAGACCAGAAAGAACGAATTTCCCACAAAAATAAATAAAATATACTACACTAAGAAGAATAAAAAATGGGAGATACGGTCCATGCAACACACCTGAGTTAACTTTGCTGTGGGAACCTTAATGTTTGTATTTCTTGACTCGGTTATTTTAGCTGTAGCACCAAAGTGATTTACATTTAAAAGGGTCTTCAACAACAATCTTTTCTCTACCCTTACATAACTCATGCAATGGCCTGTCACAAAGCAATCCCTGGAGTGCAGTGTGTCCCCTCTTCATATCTCACACAGGGGTTCACATCACCTTAACAGCAGGGAAGAACAGAGGTAGGGCCTATGACTATGCATCCTGCCCCCGCCCCCCCCCGCCCCCGCCATCTTCCACGGTGGCCCAAGGAGCAGACCCAGTGCAGCAGCAGAGGAGGCTAGTGTGCCACTGGGCTTCAGGAAGTGCGACACTGTGTTCTTCTTGCATTCTGGGAGGAATTGGTATTTCTGAGGCTAGCCAATCCCATGTCTGAATTTAGGCCCTCATTTTCCCCTGTGGGCCTAACACATGTAGGAAAGAAGTAAGTGAGTTTAAACTAGGAATTTCTGACTCATTCTTCTACTGGGTGTTTATATATCCCCAAGGAAGCAGCAAAGGAGATTTTTCTCCCTGAGCCCATGGATCTCAGGTGATCCCACAGGAGGCAGTTCAGCACCCCTCTCTCCCGCCCCTACTAGGTACGAGCAGTTCACTGTTTGTTTAGAAGGGGAATTTGATGCTTGTGGACATGAGTGCAGTAGTCCTGGAGAATTAAGTCCTATGTTCACCCAAGGTGAAATTTACCCCAGAGCAGCAGATCAGCACCACTGAAGTCCAACTCATGCCCGCAGGATAAGACTCCAACAGAGCACACACACCTTGTGTTGACACGCTGTATGGGAGCAACTTTCACCCACAGAACTGATGCAGCAGACGTAGCAACAGAGGAAGCCTTCTCTATACCACTCCACTTAAGTAATCCAGTGTGCAGGGGAGACTACGTCTAGCAGTAAGAGAGCAAGTCTCCATGCTCAAACTTTCATCTCTGTCATTTTTCATTACAATCTTAGCAATTAGCATCAATTATAGTACAGTAGTGATTTTCAGGACCTGGATAACTTGTTCAGTAAGCACTGGCTGAGGCTGCCATTCATTTCATATGAGGCTCCTCTTTTAGTTGTTGGATGACAGTGGTTTTTGGTCATTAGCAACTTGGGCTGATCATGAACAGATAGAAGAGCTCTGCCAGACAGCATGAACTAACGCTAACCACCGAACTCTCCAAAGCTTCTATTTGTAATGTTGGGAAATGTTAAAGCAAAAAAACACCAGCCCCCTCCCTCAAATGTTCCCTTGCACTAAATGTTTAATAACTTTCCATCCAAAGAGTGTATTTTCTACCCTACATCATCTCTATTCTAGGATTTGCTCAATATAATTTGACAGTGCTCCATTTACATTAGTCTGCAGCTCTGAAACCATTGTGACACCTTGTTCTCCCCACAGTCCAGGAATTTTACAAACAAGTCAAGGCTTCTAATTACAGTTAGAAGACATCCACTACTGGTTGAGCACAAACGTAAATAGACTGGATGCAACAATATTTTTTATTATATTTAATACAAGTGAATAGATTAGAAGATCTGAAATGTTATAAGGCAATATACATACTGAATAAATAGCACAGGAGTCATGTCTACATTATATAACACTGGCTAGTATTCAGAATACTTAAAATAAATCCAGTGACATTGGATAAAGTCCATAAAAATGCTATCCTGGATAAAGTCCATAAAAATGCTATCCTGTCTTCCCTTGTATGAAATTGTTCAAGTATAAAAAATCCAATACAGTGTAAAATATTAAATTCCAATTAGGTCAAGAATAAAAATTGCAAGTATTGCAGTTTCACAGGACAATGTAAAGCAGCATTCTCAAGCAAATGAAAAAATAGTCTACATACAGATGTGTGAAGAAAAAAAAATCTGTACTAATGTATTTGAGAGGCCTACATGAAAAAAAATACTTAAGAGGGAAAAGCCTGGAACTAGCAATATTTAATGTAAAAACCTAAAAAGTGTTAAATTAAGAGTACCCTCATACAGTGCACGTACTGAATTTAAATAAATCCAAGTCAACATCTTTAATTGATTAGGTTAATATTTAATATGCTACATCTAAACCTGCTAAATAATTTATGCCATGAGATGAATACATAATTTTACAGTGTCACATCTAAAGTTGCTTTCTTTAGAGCGCAGCATAGTAAAACTTTCAAAATAAATATTTTTTTTAAATAGCATTACAATTAAGGCACAGTATATATCACATACCATTAACCCTTGAAGAACTGCAATCTCAGTAACAAAAGTTGTCTCGTACTGTATGTTCTCTAATAAATATTTTTAAATATTCTGAAATAGATACTAAAATTGTACAAAGTTTCAAAAAAGGAAAAAAAGAAGTTCCCTTAAAACAGTTCTTAAAGGTTTAAATTCAGCAAGCTTCTTCCTGCCTTTATTCACAAACCATGAACAGATGCAATAAATAGAAAGAGAAGGCTGTTGTAGTAAAGGGCTGATCCTATTTCAGAATCAGAATAGCTGACACGAGCAGTTAAAGTTTCCCAAAAGTGAAACAGGATGGAGAGAGGGATTAGAAAGTGACAAGCTCATCAAACGAGCACAAGTGATGTGTTCTTTCCAGAACTGTCTGTGTTATTGATTGTCTCTACAGCTGTTGCGCCCATTAATTCCACATCACTTGCTCCATAGTTCCACTCATCCAGAGGACAGATAAGAAAATAACTTTGGTGCCTGTCCACCATTTTATCAACCGGCCATGTTCCTCAGATTGTTCGATGCCCATTAATGAGATAGTGAGAAAATATTTTCCCACTAAAACAAGTTCTATAGGCCACAGTGAAAACTAGAAATGACAATCAGTGCTTTACACATTTTTTAAAAAAAAAAATTAAACTTGATACAGGCTACATATTGCTCACTGATTTTTTTTCCCCTGGTTCAACTTTTTCAAATAATATTTTCTCACTTGTAAAAGGCAGTATGCTTCCCTGATACTGTAAAAAATACACATTTACTTTTTATTTTATTTTTTTAATATAAAGTCCCATTGTTACTCCTGCCATGGTTTCATGACAGTACATTATAGATTGTTTCTTCTCAATTGATACCTGAAACTGGTACTCCCACCCCACCCCTTCCCTAATAGCAACATTATTTGGATGCATGCTGTATGAAGACAGTGGAATAAAAAAAAAATCTTTAACTTTGCAGTAGCATAGCTTTTCTTAAAGCTGCTTAGTTAAATGTTAATTGTCTCTTATTAACTACTTATATTGGAAGGCTGGAAGAAAGGAAGAGAAAGAAAGAGATCTATCTTTCTTCAGAAGTCCATCTGCTATTGCATGCGGTCTGTTTGCAGCTGTTGTGGCTGGTATTGGCCAAAAGCTGCAGCAGCTGTCCCAGGTGCTGCAGCAGTGAGTGGTTGCTGGACTGCATAGCCATAACCCCCAGCAGTGACATATCCTGCAGCAGCTGGGGATGCTGCATACGGGTACTGGTCATAGGCAGCAGCGGCAGCAGCAGCTGCCGCAGCTGAGTATTGTGCATATGCCGCTCCAGTGTAATCAATGTAAGGTGTGGTGGAGGCAGCAGCTGCTGTAGGTTGGACATGTGGAATTACAACTCCTGGCTGCACAAAAGCCTGTGGATAGACATAATGAGCAGGTATCCTGTTGAAAGATGGAAGATAAAGTTAGAGGAAAACTTATGAATTTTAAGTGCTATTTCCATATTCAGAACTAAAACAAACTCAATTTAGTTGTTGTTATGAGCATAGGGTTGCCACAATAGCTAGATTTATTTAATACACCAACGTATCATTTCAATAGCACAAAGAGATGCATTGCTCAAAAACCCAGCATTAGGAGATGACTTAATAGCATTAAACATAACACCATCAAGCAACACTAAACGTGTTCACTTTAAAATCTTTAGAAGGGCCAGTATTTGGGATGTCAGCTTAAGACATCTGTAAAAAAGCTTAATTTGTTTATTCCAGATCCAAGCTTGGATTGTTTATTTTTAAAATAATTGGTAAGTGATTTTGTTGCCCTAATTCTGACTAACCTCATTGACTATTAGTAAAATTCTGTTATGAATACAGGTTTTATTATAACAGCTATGCAATTTGACAGTGTAGTCACTGTAATCAGTTTGCCAGTAGTAGATAATGCAGCTAAAGTTTTTTAGTTGGTCAGTTCTGTAGCCCATCACTCTCTCCCCCCCCCACCCCCCAACCCCTTTTAAAAAAAAAAAAAAAAAATTGTATTGTGGCAACCCTACTTAGATTGCTATGCAGACTCAGCACACATTAATTTCTCTGCAACCTCAGTCACCCTTATTAAAAATTAAAAAAAAAAAAAAAACACAGGCGACAAAGGAGTTTAAAGTTCACAAGTGTGGTAAACACAGCACGAATCACACTTTCCAAACGAACTATAGTGCAGCTCACTCGGTCACAAGAGGCCATAGAGGAGAAGCTACATAGATGCTATTAAAATTCATAACAGTGATTCCTAAGTACATGTGCATCACACTTTTGTAAAGGTCATAAGGACACAAGGGTCAAACCTGTTTGACTATCAGGCCACTGATGTCCTGTTTTGTGCCAGCTTGTTTATTTCTATGCAAGACATACAGCATAGAGTTTTGGGAGATGGGGGTAGGATTAAATCTAAATAGATCTGGTGTTTAACAAAAGCAAAAAACAAGTTTATGGCTCATTAAATAACTGTTTGAACAAGTCAATAGATACACTTTCCCATTTCCTCCTCCAAATCAGAGAGCTTTGCTTCCTTAACTTACTAGCCCATGATTGAACTACTTTTGATACCAGTAGTAATCCTCTCACATCACACATCTGCATACAAATTAATCCCATCATTCCATTGTATCATGTAATATTAAAGACATGCTTTAGAATAGAGTAATACCATGTTCATTATACACTTAATCCCCCAATCCTGCGATTGGATCCATGAGTAGACTGAAGTCAGTGGGGCTCTACGCAGCCACAAAGTCTGCTTTTGCAGCTCCCAATGCAGGATCGGAGCCTTAGACTTTGCATGACAGTTAAAAATTTCCCTTTCCGGCTGAGTCTAAAGACAACTCCAGGCTTTTACCATTATATTTACATTGTAAACATAGCTGGAAAATTGCAGCACTACCATTTGTCCTCTTCCTCCAGCTTTAAGAGCCAGACAGTTTTTTTGAAAATAAAATAACAGTTTTACTTCCAGTTGTCAACAGTTCAATTAAATGGGACACTGTCAACTAAATTCATCCCAAGATAAAAAAGCCAAAGCATTAAATCTGATTGGCTTTTTAAATTATAAAAACTTAACATCCAACAGTCAGTTTAACATCCACGTAGAAGTGAATGAGCAGCAGTAGTTATGACTTAAATATTACTTTAAACAGTGAGAAGACAGTAATACATACTACATTTCTAGATCTTTCTCTGTGCGAACACAAATGACGTTACCGAGGATTTCTTAGAACACTTGTACATGTACTTAACTTCTTTTTAAAAACTAGACTGAAAGATACACATGCTCCCACTTAAACCCTTGTGACTTGTTTCCTTTAAGCCAAGAAACAAAACAGGTGGTGAATTACGAAACTATCCCTTTACAACAGCATTTTAGTCTGCATTATACATGAACCCTGTGCAGGCCCCCCACCATCATGCCGTTTCAGATATGGTGATTGACAGTATAAGCTGCAGTGGGGCTATTTTTGATCCATCTATCATGAGACAAGGGTTTCAAGCAGAGTAAAATGACTTTATAAGGCCAAAGTAAACGTCTATCTACTGCAAAGGCAAGCATGCATACATCTCAATGACACTGAAACACTGCTCTTTAATCTTTTGACCTCAGTTTCCCATTGTGCTGTGACACCTTAATAAAACACTCAGGTTTTTATAAAGAGTACTACTTTATAACAGACAATATTATATTGGGACAATATTTTAATTATACAACGGTCTTATGGCAAGGAACTTTTTTTCCATTTTGTAGTAAAGCTACTCCCTTAAAGAAAGAAAAAAGGCAATGTTTAGCACCAAGTAATTTTGGTGCATACAAGTGCTCTTGCCATCAGACTTAAGATTTTCATTAACCTAAGCTGTAAGAATACTTTTGCAAAGTTAGAACGTTAATTAGGTTTAATACTATAGTAGCTGTATAAGTAACAGTAAACTGCCAAATATATTATTGTAAGTGATATGCATACAAAATACAACTGAAACAAAAAGGTAGCCTAGGCTGATCTGGAATAGCTGCAATACATAGGAATTCAGTATTAATGGACAGAACAATTGTGATACCATTGAATTCTTGAACAAGTAGTTACTGGACTGTGCATGAGACCTGTTCCTTCTATTCTGGATCTTGCATTGCTTCATCTGTTCTTTGTAAGTACAATTAACTAGCAGATTTAATTCAAAAGTTCAATATTGAACAGCCTTCTTATACCAGAACAAGAGAGTTATGCACACTAAACAAAAAAAAACAAACAAAAAAATCAAGCATGTTTTGGGGGTTAAGTTTGAGCTCAATGCCTTCTGCAGTATATTGAAAAATATATACATTCGGTTTTCTTTGACCATGGCAGTTTCATGCCACAACTGTTTCAAAATTATCAGCTGCCTGACGTTACACAGATCTTTTAATTATCAACTGTGGTCAGAACTCTTCCCTCCATCCCTTATAATCAATTATTAGGATTTTGTAAAACTTAGAAGTGACTTAGCAAGTGTTTGATATCAGCTAACCATTCGTTGGCCAGCTTGTCCTCTTGGGACTTAATTCGGCTGTCATTGAAGTTGGTGGGAACTTTTTCATTTACTTCAGGATCAGTCCTTAGACGAACAGGGAAAAAGATCTAACTATTCACATCCTACGTCCACCTCTCCCTTCATGCATGTAATTTTCCACTGATGTTAAGTGGTAATTATGCATGCAAAGGAAAAGAAGCTACCTCAATGGAACAAAATAAAGATCTTTAAAAAAACCGCATTAATTCAAAATGAATTCAATAGCAGCATTTGGTGTTTCAGTATACAGCTATACTTTTATGAGTCACAGTGGGATAAGTAACCAACACTGAACTCTTCAAGGTCCCTTCCTGACCTACATTTCTATGATTGTGGTCAGATTCAGCATGCCAGGTCTCACACATATAGTAAATGAGATTCTGGATGTAAAGAGGAGGTGAGATCAGGAAACGTTACTTGGGTGAGAGAATTAATCGCTATAGCATAGAAAAAATAAACCAGAACTACAAGTATTTTATGAACAGGAACTAACGTTGCTTCTCTTAGCTAGAGTAAAGCCGGGGGGGGGGCGGGTACCGTACTCAGAACTAAGTATATTCTCCCACTAAATCTGATGTAATGTGATGCTGAAAGTAACTGCATTTTGTCTGAAAGGTAGAACTCTGACAGAGCACTGCTGACAAGAGCAAAGTAGAACCTCACTAATTTGCACTTTGCTAATTAATTCACATGCAGAAATGGCACTCTCTCCCCTTTTACTCGCAGAGCACAGTTCTGAGGTTCCATATTACTTAATTTTACATAGCATATGGAAGTACACTTACTAGTATTCACAGAAAAAAAATTAAAACTCAAAGTATGTTTCAATGGAGCCCAGCTATCACCTCAAAATATTACTCTTTACAGAAAAATTCTGTCCTTTTTAGCAAACCCAAACATTAAAATGTCTGAAAAATGAGCCCTTACACAACCCAGCCTGTTCCCCTTTCTCATACAGTCATCACTGTCTATTACTCCACTCAGTTTTCACTGCTCTCCCTAGCCTTTATCCCCTAAAATATATGCATAGATCAAAATAAGAGTTTAGTGGGAGATTATTGGAAGTGCATCCCTTGAACATGAAGTTAGATTGTATAATCTCTTGTAACTGGAGGTAACAGAAAAGGTACAGGGAACAAGGATAAAAATGAATACTGGATTCTGCCAGTTTAAAGCACATACCACCCCTCTTTGCAAAATATGCCTCTAATTCAGATTGATATACAGTGTGTTAGAACCAGAAAAGGCTGATGGATTGGAGAAGAGAATCCATTTTTATTAAGTCCCTTAAGCAGTATATAGTCCCAGTTCCTCCTTTCTTGCTATGCTAGGCAAGTACTTCCTCTTTTCCTCACAACTGCTCCCTTCTCATTCCACCAGCTCCTCTTTGTAACCCTGCTTTTATGCCCTTCTAGGTAACCCCTCCCTTAGTGTGAGCATCAGATTATCATATATTCTTTTCAGTTTCCCCACCATTTCTCCAAGAATATTAAGAGATGCTGGCTTTGTTGAAGGGAAGTAAGACATATCTGGGAATATTATAAGAAGCAAAAATATATATATCATAATTGAGCTTCAGGTACATTTTCAAAACTAGTTTCCTGATTATTACCATGCTTCCCAGAAAACCACTAAAGCACTCTACTGTGAGATAAGAAGTTGTATGTGAAGTTTCTGGAAGACTGATTTCCCATCCCCACAACTTTTCCAAAAGGAAAACGATCAACTTCTAATGGAAAGCTAGCTTCAACTTTAACTATGGAGCAGCTACTGCCATTTCATAACACCAAGGTACAGTAGATCTTAAATCTACACTTGTCAAGTAATTGAACAAAGTACATCCTTTGATGCATTCTCCTGCTTTGTTAGCTTATTTATTAAATTATCAAAATTTATTATTTTGCAGTGACCTAGTCAGTGTGAATTAGTGAGGTGTACAGGACAGAAAATTTAAGCAGACTTCACCTCCTAATTTTACATCTATAAAAAGCAAGTGTTAGAAATACTTAGGAATAGTATACTTGTATTTTTTTTTTATTTATTTATTTTTTTTAAAAGGAAATGCACTACATATTGAAGTCTGATGGAGAAGTTAAAGACTGGAATTAGAAAGCCCAAGTGGAAGCACAGTGTTAATCAAAAGAGCTCCACACCCCTTCATACCCCTCTCAAGGAACAAAACCAAGAACTATAAACATGCAAGCAATAGGTTGATTTTCTTTATTAAAAAAAAATCAAGATGTCACACAATTTAGCACTCAATACAAAATACGAATATGGTTAAAAAAAAAAAGTCACAGGCTACAGCTTGAAAGCAAGAAAAAAAAAAAAAGTCCCTTTGCTCCCCATGGCAAAGTCAACACTCCTCAACAACAAAAACAAAATTAAGAGACCCCCAAAAACTTTCACTACAGCTCTTTCAATTAAATAAAAGCACACAGTTTAGCTATCAACACCACTTCATTTCTGTAAAAAATAATAAAAAAAAAAGCACACGGAGGTCTATTGACTATATGAAAAAACATACATGCATCGTTAATCACCATTTTAGCTTGTTTGTGTTTGAGTCTACTGGTTACAGTGTTTAATTCCAAACAGAACTATTCCACCTCTTATCATCATATCCTTCTGATCAGTTATCTTAACTGTAAACGATCCCTGTCAGATTAGAAAGAGATAAATAACATTGAGTCAAGCTGGGGGAAAAATAAATAAATGGGGGGCACAGCGATCTTGTATAAAGTCATACCACTTTCTTTTATTAGAGGGTGGTATGGGTCTGATCCTCTTGGGTTGGGAGGGCTGCATACTTCGTATACACAACTTGACTCAGCTGTGGTCTTTAGAGCATTACCAAAGAGAACATATTTACAAGGTATATGTTTTTAAGTCTGGAAATTTGAATGGCAGCATTATAAAGTCAGTGACAGTACTGTGAGAGGCCATCCAAGGTTATACTTTGTTTGTGGACCTGTTTTATAGACTTACCCAAAAGGCCTCTGTATGAGAGCTGGATGAAGATGCTGAACACCAAAGGCAAAACCTACCAACAAAACACATCACATTCTCTATATGAGCATTCCATCAGCTGCTTATTTATGCTATACACACAGTAACCTTCACTAACAAGCACTAGTAAAGATGTTCAACAGAGCAAAGAACCACAGGTTACAGAATGAGTGTTTTAGATAATTTTTTTTTTACAATTTAAACCAGAGGTACATGATTGTGACTCCTGCCAATTTTCAAAAAGACAACTTATTTGGCAACAACTAGGAGAATTTCACTGAACTGTTATTTAAAACCAAATGTTTTCTAGCAGCAAAGTCTAGTCCTTAACTCTAAAGCCTAAGAATTATAAATTGGATTGTAACTGGATGAATATATGTGTTTCTACAGACTTAACTGGGAGCCATGCATGCAAACATAAGGGTAGAATTACTCATACTGTAATATACACTGACTTCTTACTTCCTGAAATATTCATATTGGGCCTGATTGCAAGCCCCTTAGTCATGTGAGTAGACCCATTAACTTCAGTTGGAATATTCAGGTGACTAAGTTCTCACATAGGTGACTAAGTACCCACCAATGTGAGTATTTAGTCACCTGAGTATTTCCACTGAAGTTAATGGGTCTACTCATGTGACTAACAGCCCACCAACATCAGTAAGGGGTTCACAGTCTGCCCTCTTTAAAATATGAACATTAACGCACTACTATATTCCCATTTATTTTGCTGTGAAGCTGTGGTATTGAACAGGGCATGAAATCAGTGAGTGAGTTTTGGATCAGATCTGGCCTTGTGATAAATCCATTCCTTTTTTCATTCAGTGCAATAGATTCCATGTGTTTTAGAAGTTCCCATTAAGAGACCGACTGTGTTAATAAGACTGGGCACATCTAGAAGTTCCTGTATCCTAGCAATAACTCTTTTACCTCAATTATACTGTAAATTGTGTTTGTCATTTCATTCATAATATAGGGTCCAACAAAATGGAAATTTTGTATGGAGGAAATTTCTCAAAGGGGACATGTATTCCTCTATGTACAGTGCACATGCACACCCTTAGTTTTTATGAAAGCATTCTTACAGATAGCCAAGAAGTTATGGATTACATACATTAAAACACAAACACACACACACACACTATACTCCACGGAAAGTGGTGGCATTGCCGGAGAGAGCCTTTTTTTTTTTATTTTATTTTAACTCAGACTGAAGTTTTGTTCTTCTCAGAAACTTTGTTGAAGGGCAGGGGAGGGAGAAAAAGAGAGAAAGAGACTTTCCTCACCTGGTTGCATTATCCTTGGTTTTGCTCCCAGGTATGCCAGGTTCACATTGGCCTTCCTGCCATCAATGATAGGATTGGGATCTTTGCAAGCCCTTTCAGCAGCTGCTCTATCAGCCATGGTGACCTTAACAATATACAATGCTATGAATTAAACCACTTTTGCCATTGAAAAAGAAGCAGAATTCACCTTTTCACTAAAACAACCAGCTTTCCCCCCCCCCCCCCCAAAAAAAGACAGTATGAAAAATATGAAGCTTCATCTCCCTAGATGTTTTTGGTACAAAATTAATGGGCTTGCTTGAATAATTAAGATAAATCGGGTTTGTTTACATGAAGAGACTGAGGAACTTTAACACGAATTAACGAAAGGCCCGAGAAGTTAAAATGCATTAGTTAAAGCACGTTAAATCCCCTCGTGGATGCTCTCATTCAGAAATAAAGGGACCTTAGTTCTTTAGCTTAAAACTCATTGAAGTACAAAAAATACCCTTCCTTTCCTTTGTTCTGTGCTTAACTGGTAAACAGACACAGAAATCAGGTTGTTTTAAGCTTCTAGTTTGCTGCAGTACAATATTAGGGGTATGTACATGTATAGGAGCCCCCTGTACTACCACAGATAAAACTTCTAAGTCATATCAGTAAACAACCAGCTAGCCTAATTTGTTGCCAGAAATCTGCACTAACTTTTCACGTGCAAACCACGATCCAAATCCCCTCCATTAGGGATTCCCCATCCTTTCCCCTTCCCTCAAAAAAATTAAATAACTCCTCAAAACACAGTACCCTTCCCCCCCCCCCCCCCCCCCCCCCCCCCCCCCCCCCCCATCAGACAAACCCTTTATCTAGGGCTGCCCTCTGGATCTACGGTGCAGCAGCATGCTGGCCTTTGCCTCACAAGAAGTTTCTTTCCGGATTCAGGCGCTTATCCCCCTTTACCTGTCTTCCCACCCCCACAGGCAATACAATGCTGGCTTCTCAGCTTGTTTTAGTTTCCCCAGAAAGCGGTCGGATCCCTCCCACCCACAAAGCGGACCGAAGCTAAAAACGATGCAAAGTAGCCCCGGTGCCACCCAGCAGCGAGTTTCCACCCACTGGCTGCAGGAGCAGCAGCGGCAAAAACGACCCCCCAGAGAAACACCCCCACGACTTACAAATCCGTATCCCCGGGACTTGCCGGTCTGCCGGTCGGTGATGACCACGGCTTCCTCGATCTCCCCGAACACCTCGAAGTACTTGCGCAGGCTGGAGTCGGTGGTATGATAAGGCAGGCCCCCGACAAAGATCTTGGTGTAAGTGGTGTCCTTCTGGGTCGTGTGCATCTTCCGCGTCGTTCGCTGGCCCTGCCAGCCGGACAGCCCTAGGCAAACAAACGGGGAGAGTAGTGTGCGCCTGGGTGCGTTTACACGTGGTGGGAGGGGGTCTTATTCCGGAGTCAGACCCCTTTTGCAACTACACTGCGTTGCCTTTTGCAAACCAATCCGCCGCTGCCTCCTCCTCCTCCCACTCTCAGGGAGGGAGCCCCGCAGCCTCCAGCAGTTTTGAGGTAGGTGTTAGAAAAGGAGGATGGAGAGCGTCCAGTCTGGCGGAGGCAGCAGCAGCTACTGGAGAGAAATGCAGGGCCCGGACGCTAACAACGGAGTGGCTTTTCCCTGTTTGCTTTCCCCTAAAAGCCGGGGCACCCTGGGATCCTCCGCCTCCGTCACCAGGGGCGGGGATGGGGTGGGCCCTTCTTCGCCTATTGGCCCGCTTGGCAGCTGGAGCGGACACACAGCTGTTGCGAACAGCTGGGGGGTTGATTCTCTTCTCGTGTGTCTGGCAGCCCGGGCTGCAGGGAACGACTCGGGAGAAGCGCTGCACGCTCAGGTTTCCGCTTCAGGACAGGAGCAGCCCGAGCAGGAGAGGCGGATTCTCCCGGCCTGGTGTGAGTGGGAAGGGCCTTGAGGCTGCTCTGTGGCAGGGCTCGTGGAAGTCGCTAGCTCACACCCTGGGGCGAGGTTTCTGCTTCAGCTGCCACTGTCCTGCAATATCGCCGATCCCACTCCTGACTCCCCCGGCGGTGGGAGCATTGGACGCTGGTAGAGCTGCTTCCTCGGCCCTTCTCTTCACTAGCCCCTTTTCCTTGCGCAATCACCACTGGAGAGAAAGAAGAGACCTAGAGAGCGCTGAGGGGCAGGGATGGGGGCTCAGAGCCCCAGGGGTGCCTATCACAGTCACAGAACTCCTCCCTGTGCCATACAGGTAGGGGAATTTGAGGCGGGAGATTGGTAGGGGAGAGGCAGGAAGGGGGCAAAGGTAATAGGAAAGAAAAGCAACAAAGAGTCCTGTGGCACCTTATAGACTAACAGATGTATTGGAGCATAAGCTTTTGTGGGTGAATAGGAAAAAAAAGGACATAACAGGAAAGAAAGGTGAGTGAAAGACAGTTGTGCATCAGTGTAGTATTGGGAAACCAAAGCTATTCACCTCTGCTCCCCCACACCCTTCTTAGTGCTACTATTGACTCTTCCCTCACTCCTCTGTGCTCATTTGCCCCTTTGGCCTTTTTCTTTGAACCCACCCTTGCTATAGATAGAAGTCCCCTATCAATTTGCAAGTGGGACTTTATCGTCGAAATGGTGTCTACGTTGATCTCTCTGTAGCTTCCCTTACCAGAGTATCTGTGTGCCCTGCAAGATTAAAGTACACAGTTTACCTGTAGAGGACCTCTAGCTCTTTCGTTCTGCAGTCTACTTCACACAAGAAAGCCTTATGGCCCACCTCTATTCCAAAATTCTCCTACATCAAAATAGGTGGTTTTAAAAATGCTCCCTTCCACACATCAGGAAGAAAGGCTCTGCAGACTTTTTGTGGTCCATGATCTTCAGTTTAAGAAGTCTCTTTCCCTCTCTCTCCAGTGATCAGGTGTTCATGGTTAAAAAGAACTAGATAAATTCATGGAGGACAGGTCCATCAATGGCTATTAGCCAGGATGGGCAGGGATGGTGTCCCTAGCCTCTGTTTGCCAGAAGCTGGGAATGGGTGACAAGGAATGGATCACTTGATGATTACCTGCTGTGTTCATTCTCTCTGGGGCACCTGGCATTGGCCACTGTTGGAAGACAGGGTACTGGGCTAGGTGGATCTTTGGTCTGACCCAGTATGGTTGTTCTTATGTTCTTAAGCCGATCGACAAATAGCTCTATCTGTTTCCTGATTCAAAATATTAATGAACTTCCTGGATAGGGAATCTGTTTGTCCCTAATACATGTTATTTTTTTATAATTACTTAATATACGATTTACCTTAAGGGACAGGTGCAATTCCTTTGTGGCCCTATCTTTCACTTCTAGGAGCGTCACACACAAAGTTATTCTATGTTGTTTCTTTTTGAGTTAGAAATAAAAAACATTTAAAAAAAGAAAAACTCAGCATAGACAGATATACAGAACTGGAAGGTTAAAGTGTGTTGAAAAGCATTATGGAAGAGACATTGTATTGCTATAAGTGCCACTCAATCCTAGCAACACTTCTGTAGTCAAAATGGTGTCTACATTGACCTAATCACAAACTAACAATCTGATCATAAATAAATTGTGTTTGGGCTGAATGTACCTGTTTATAAAACGTTTCTTCCTGGAAGCATTTTTTTAAAGCAAGAAAATAATTTTTAGCAGCTTTTAAGTTAGAGAAACATGATCGTTACTGGCATTAGATATTTATCTTTGTATGCTTTTGGCTTCCATGTCAATTTGGAACATTACTTAGTGCTCTGAGACCCATGCCCAAACTTTTCAAGTTGTACATTTCAAATTGGATAGACTTCTGGGTATGTTGAGTTCTTTCCCCCTAGGCTTTGGAAGCCAAAGTTGTAGAAGACATTTTTGAATCATGGGGGCCCTATTGTAATACCCTCTTTTTTAACTCAAGCAGAACTCCTTATGGATGCTAAGGGGGAAATCTGCTTAAAAACTGATGGTATGACATGGCCTCAGGGGCTGTGCACATACAGCCCTTTTTATCTGTGTCCAGAGCCATCCCTAGGGTATGGCGAATCGGGGCCCAGGCCCCATGCTTTGGGGGGTCCCATGCTTTGTGAGAAGGTGGGTGGGGAGGTGAGGCTGGGGGCAGGTGGGGGGGGTGAGGAGGAGCCGCCCCCCCAACCTCCACCTCCCCCCAGTGCCTCCTGCCTGCCCCTCCCTCCCAGTGCTTACCGCCGATCAGTTGTTTCGCAGCATCTGGGGGGGAGGGGAGAGGAGCAAGGGTGCAGGGCACTTGGGGGAGAGGGCAGAACTGGGTGGGGAAGAGGTGGGGCAGGGCGGGAAAAAGCAGGGCGAGGGCAGGAAGGGGTGGGGGAGGAGTGGTGGTGGGAAGAGGCCGGGCTGGGGTGGGGCCTTGAGGGAAGGGGTGGAGTAGGGGCAGGGCCTGGGCATAGTCAGGGGGAGCACTCCCTGGTAGATAGAAACTCAGCGTCTGTGTCCTGGCCCTGCACACCCCTAGGGACGGCCCTGCCTTTGTCATGTTCCATGGATTTCCATGAACCTTCAGATAGGAGGAGTGTGCACCTGCAGATCCTCATTCAGCCTTGTCTTCATAATCTTTCCACTTAATTGAGGCCATAAGGTGGGATCCATGAACAGACTTAGGCATTGCAGTGCTGAGTGTCACAGTGCTTAACTTTTAGGCACTTAAAAAAATCACAGGAACTACGCTGTGATCCACAAAGCTGAGTTAGTCACCTAGGCTTGCTATACAATGAAGTGGAGCCAACATTCTCTATTTTGCAACCAGGGCCCCAATTCTGCAAACACTCTTGCACATGTTTAGCTTTAAGCACATGAGTTATCCCATTGAAATCATAAGTGAGGTGTAAAATGGTGTTAATGGGACTGCTCATGCACATGCTTAAAGTTAAGCACATATGTAAGTGTTTGCAGGACCAGGGCCTCAATTTACCACCTGCAAATACCAAGCAAAGAGAAAAGTACCAGGGGCTAAGCTTAATAAGGGAACAAAGTTCAGCAACACTGTCACATTAACTTACACAGCATGATAAACATTCCTTTTGATGAGTACAGGATTTGAACAATCTCCCATTGGTTGACAAGGCTATATAACAGGGATGGGGGGAAATATCCACTTACAGTATATGTTCCATAGTATAATGTTTAATAAAACAGAGTACACCAGGGAAAATATGTCAAGACTTGCTCAGAAAGCTCCCTCCCAGATTCCACACTGGATTGTTTTTTTTTTTTTTTTTCTTTTAATAGATCACAGTCATTTTACTAGGGAGGCCTTGACCCAGAACAAATGTCTTATTGGAGTGAATTATTTGGGGCTGTGATGGGGAAATGACTGAAGCAGAAAATAAAATAAGACTTTTTATATTAAATATTTTGCTCTCTTGAGTCAATGGGTTCATGTTTAGAAAGATCAGTTGTTTATGGTCTGTTTAAAGTTCTAATCAGCCTACTGACCATCCATGACAGGAAGTGTCTAACCCGCACTCACCAAACACCCAAGACAAGCAAAAACCAGGTCACCTGTGAGCAAGTGAGTTCTCTCTCATGCACCTGTCTCGATCAGGGAAGGTGTAAGTAAATCCAAGGAGGGAGATGATGTATTAATTCTGACGGGCGATGGGAATTCAAAAATTGTCATTGGTTTATCGTTACAATATTTGTTTCAGCATGCTCCTAGAAAGATAGCATAGTTGCTTTTTATTATAAGTCTAAATAAATGTACATAAAAGTAACAGGGGGCCAGTTTCCTATGCAGTTCAAGCTTCTGATAAGCAAGCATTTTCCATCTAAGCCCAGCTTAGTTCTTGTTTTCTCTGTAATTCTTGCCATGAGAGGACACATTTGTTGTAAACCCTTCACTCAGGCATAGGTTTTAACTTTTTCTATACCCAGGACTAGATCAGTCTCTATGGGTACGTCTACACTGCAATAAAAGAGCCTTGGCACAGCCACGGCGGGCCCATGCCAGCTGACTCAGGCTCACAGGATTCAGTAGGGTGACCAGATGTCCCCATTTTATAGGGACAGTCCCGATTTTTGGGTCTTTTTCTTATATAGGCTTCTATTACCTCCCACCCCCTGTCCCGATTTTTCACGTTTGCTGTCACGTGGGGCTAGAAAATCACAGTGTAGATGTTTGGGAGGGATTGGGCTGGAGCCCAGGCTTTCAGACCACACAAGGGGGGAGGGTCTGAGAGCCTGAGCTTGAACAGCTACACTGCTGTTTTGAGCCCTATGAGCATGAGTCACCTGACTGAGGCTCTGAGACTTAGTGCTGTGGATATTTTATCACAGGGTAGACTTATCATCTGTCTCCTATCCTTGCCTTCCATGCAAAGATCCGCCCGATCATTTTTGTGGGGTAGTTTTTTAATTTTTGTCTCTCCTGGAGCTAACAAGTTCTCACATAATGGATTATTTATGCATTTATATGAGGTGCAGAGGCATTGGCTGTCACCAGCCTTTCTGTTTCCATCAATCGCACGCTAGCTTTGGGTGCATAATGAAACTTAGCATAAAAAGTTCAGCAACATCCTTCCTAAAAATGTCACCTAGTAATAGAACTGAACAGGAATTTTCTAACTGAATTGGGTTTAATTGGAAAAGGAGTGTTCTGATCATCTACTCGGATCACCAGTATAACGCAG